AGCCAGCCAGCCTGTCAGCACGGGTCAGCTCTGTCCTTCCTCTTATCTGGTCAGCTTGGTTCTCTCCTACCCAGCTCTAAGCCTCTTATTTACCTTCCTCGGTGTTCCCAACCTCCTTCTTTTAGCCCTAACATTCCTTCTAACCCTAAACTCGGTTTTTGCCATGAGAACAGGACATTTGTAGCCTCTAGATTCTTAGTTCCCGTCACTACCAGACAGCCACAACTACTGATGAGGGGACTCTAAGGTACCTAGTCCCAGGCCTCTTGGATCTTTTCTGCACTTGCTTCTACCTACCATCTAATGGGAGAGAACCAAAGCCTGGGCAAGGCCCCACCCCGCCATTTTGAATTCTCAGAACACTGGCATGTGGTCACCACAATCATGCTCAGCTCCAGCGGGCAGCCATGAAGGTAAGTGTGATCCATCTAATGGTTATTTACTGACCAATACTTAACTTTTTTTTTTTTGTCATTCATAAATACAAAATTTTATTTGCACTTCATTAGTGTAGAAAGACCACGATGCTTCTCATACCACAACACTCAGGACACACCAAGTTATTCAAATACATACTTATTTACCTTGACTAAACAAAACAGTGCAGTTTAATAAAAGATATACTAAAGATAGAGTTCACAAATTCCTTATCAGACCCTCGAAAAAAAACCCCCAAAAAACAAGAAAACTTGAACACAGTCTAGGCTTAATAGGAATAAGGTTCGCCAACAGTGGGAGAAGTCCATCATTACAAAGATACAGGATGCTTGGGCAGATGCATGTGTGTTTGTTGACAGAGTAAAATGCAGTACTTAACTTTTCAACGCTGATGAAGACTACCAATATGTGTAACCATAATGTGCATTACCTTGTGATATTTCTTTCTTTCTTTTGTGTGTGGACATGTTCTCTTGTATGCAGGTGCATGTGCACGTGTGTACATCTGCATGTAGAGGCTGGGGATTGGCAATGGGTATCTTCTTCAGTGGTGGTTGAATAAGAATGACCCTCATAGATTCATACATTTGAATGCCTAGTCACCAGGGGCCAGAACTGTTTGAAAGGATTAGGAGGTGTGGCCTTGTTAGAGGAAGTGTGTCACTGGGGGTGGGCTTTGATATTTCAAAAGCCTGAGACCAGGATCTCCCACTCTGCCTGTCAATCAGGATGTAGCTCTCAACTAGCTCTCCAGCACCATGCCTGCCATGATGAAAATGGATTAAGCCCCAGAAACCATAAGCAAGCCCACAATTCAATGCTTTCTTTTGTAAGGGTTGCCTTGGTCATGGTGTCTCCTCACAGCGACAGGACAGTGACTACAAAACCTTCCTTGATTATTTTCCACCTTATTTTCGGAGAGTCTGGCCTGCATGTAGGCATGTGTGTCACACTGTATGCCAGGTGCTCCAGGAAGTGAGAAGAGGGCACCTGATAACCCGGAAGTGGAGTTACAGAGCCACTGTGTGGGCGCTCGGAACTACACTCGGGTCCTCTGTAACAACAGCATGGCTCAGATGAGTCTTCGCTCCAGACTCCCCACCTCACTTTTTGAGACAGGATTTCTTACTGAGGCTGGAGCTTATGGATCCAGTCTGGGTGGCTGAGCTGCAGGGATCTGCCTGTCTCTGCCCTCCCTCAGCGCTGGGGTTAGAGATGAGCACTTCTGTGCCTGGTTTATATAGGTCCTGGGGACCAAATGCAGAGCCTCATGTTTGTGTAGGTAGACACTACACAAATGAGCTCTCTCCCCAACCCCATGACTTTTTCTAAGGCCTGTCTTTTCTTTGTTCAGATCTGTTTCTGGAATAGTGAACCATCATCGTTTGCTTTCAGTGTCTTTAATTGAAATTTTTTATTTTTCTTGAGATATGGTCTCTTTGTAGTGCAGGCTAGCCTCTCACTATGTAGCAGAGGATGGCTTTGAACTTTTGACCCTCCTGCCTCCACCTCCTGAGTGCCAGGGTCACCTGTTTATGCAGTACTATGGTTCAACCCAAGACTTGATGTGGGCCAGGCAAAAGCACTCTATTAGCTAGGCTACATCCACAGCTCTAATCTTACATTTATACATTTTTTCGATAATTCTGAAAACCCTGAAGTAGTCTTCAAAGGTGTGGTTTAGAAAAAGCCTACCCGTCTGCTGTGTATGCAGACCGGCTGTGTTTCATTCCAAGCTGTACTTTTAGGCTGAGATCTTGGAAATTCAAGGGCAACGTGAATTTTATTTTGTAATTTTAGAACAATGCTGAAAATGCCCCCAAAGCTTGGTTTTGGTCGGTGCTAGCCACACGGCTCGGACTAGTTCCTCAACAGCTTTACATAAAATCACAGACACAAAAGATCCTTCTCTCAAAAACAGATTCCTGGAGAGAGCGAAAGAACAGAGGGGAAATTGTATTTGATTTTTTTCTAAAAAGTCTATCTATTGTCCAATTAATTTTGTTTCTTAGGCTTTTGGCCATGCTAGCAAGTAATTACTTTTATGGATGGTAAGAGGACTACTAAATACTTAGCATTAATTGAAGTTTCAGAATCGCTTAAAACACACACACACACACCTCAGTTATCTTGTTTTCTAAATTTGTTTCTTCTGGCTAGATACAGAGCCAGGTGCAAGGTGACCAGGTGCTTGTCTCAGGGCTGTCCTGGCTTTCACCTCGGCTCTCCAGGCGGGCCTCTGAATATTCTGGCGGTTAGAACATCTATTCCCCCAGACTCCCAGATGCTGCTCTCCCCACACTGGCTCCGCACAGAACATCATTATCTGTGCCGAGCTTCTGTCTCTATGGTAATAACAGATGGGAAGTGCTGTGGAATTATTCATGTTCACACAGGCAAGCAGTCAGGGAGCGGAGGGTAGGAGGTGGGAGAGGGCATGACCTGGGAGCACGGAGATGGGGGCCGACAGGGGCGGGGGCGGTGATGAGAGGTGAACATTTGTCAGACCTATTGTGGGGGAGAGATGGGAGAAAAACCTCCGAGCACCAAAGTACTCCCAATTGGACAGCTGCAAATGTGGACCCAAACATGAGTAAGCCCGAAGCGGTAAAATAGAAACTGGGCGGAAAAAAAAAAAAAAGGTGGGGGTTGGGGGGAAGCGCGGCCGCCGAAGCCTGAGTTCCCCAAGTCTGCGCAGTGCTACTCACTGCGCTATTTCAGTTCCTGATCCTGCGGTGGGGTGGAGGAAAGGGGATTTCTTGGTGTTTCGAAATGTGACGGGCCAGCTCCACGGAGCTGAATATTCGAACTGACTCTCCTGGGGACGTCGGCTAGGAAGTCCCCCCACCCGCCCCCTGCCGCCCGCCCCGCCGGGGTGGCAGCCGAAAGCTCTCAAGTGGTTATCTTTCTCCACCTCCCCACGTCTCTGGAGGAAAAAAAAGAAAAAGAAAACCCTGGAAACCCCAAACCAGAGCGCTCGGTGGATTAGAACGGGTCACTTAGGAGGGCGAGGGCGCGGGGCCGCAGGGTCTGCCCCGGCGCTGCGAAAGCAGCGGCCTCTCCGGCGATGGCGGCCGCCCAGGCCACCCCGGCGCGCCCAG